GGGCTATCAATATTTACCTATTACACAGTAGTCGTCATCAAAATTCCTCCTCCTCCAATTTGTGGTTTTGGCGATTGAGTTATTCCAACAAATGGTTAGATATTAGTAAAAGAATAAAACAAGCGAACCGCCACATCCCTTTTGCGAACATCAGGACACTTTTATTGAGTTCCGTCCGCATTGATACCTCCTACTCTCTCTTTACTATATCAAAAACTGCTTATTGAAGGCTTTGAAGAAATAAGTAATTTTCTGATTTGCAAATCTTTGAAAAAAGAAATTGGCAAAAATGTATAATAAGATTCTTGTGTAACCGCGAGTTTGCGCAATCGGCAGTCTCGACTGTCACTGGTTGGATCTTTCAAATATCTTTCAGACTCAGTTGGACAGAACATGGTTTCGTCGTCGTCAAAGGACCGGCTCCCGTTTGCAGCTGTAGCTCTGGTGCACAGACGTTGCAAATAGACTTCAGCGAATTCTTAAATCGAATATGTCGGAGTGTCTCCAATTAAGCTTCCTCCTTTTAGCCGTGAAAGCCTACACACGAGTTGGTTACCGCGTCTTGCACAAGAGTTGCTCACGCCGCACGGGGTATGCGACTTGGATGGGAGAGTAGAAATCGAGTATAGCGCGGCGACTGTAACTGGCATTTTTAAAATATTTTTAATTATTTGAAAAAAAAAACAGTGAAAGTTCAATTCGGGTTCAATGACCCAAACTTACGGAAATACTTGGCACTCATTTCGAGCAGCTAGCTAAATATGTTTGATGTGTTTTGTTGTTGCGGGCGAAATGCAAATTGCAGCTAATGCGCAAGTGGTTGCAAAAATTAGCGCGGCTATACATACATACATACATGCACACATACGTACGTACATGTACACTGCAGTTCAAATTTAGTTTGTTAATCAACTATTTATTTATTTAGTATTATGTATATATATATATATATATATATATATATATATATATATATACGTGTGTGTAAGTGCATACAATTGTACAAGTATCGCTTGCATCCCAATCGCCCTAGTTTCAGCTAAAGGCATAAAAATACACTTGCAACATTATCGATGTGGAGCGTATAACCAGGCGCTTACATACATATGTACTCGTATGTAACTAAGTACGCATGTATGTATACAGGGTATTCCAAAAAGTGTTATTATTTCGATATTCAAAGAAATAAGGCATTTTCTGAGTTAAGTGGCTGCTGTATATCTTCGACAGCTTCATGAATTCCATCACTGAGGTCTTGAATCGATGTTGGCCTGTTGGCGTAAACCTCCAAAGCTCCAAAGGAGGAAGTCGCAAGGTGTTAAATCACAAGATTCCGGTGGTCGATTGCGTTCACCTCTTCGAGAGATAACACGGCCTGGAAACTTTTCCCTTAACAGGTCGATGATTTCGTTGCTTGTGTGGCATGTAGCGCCGTCTTGTTGAAAGTAAACGTTTTCCAGATCTATACCATTTTTTATACCGGCTATAAAAAAAATCCAGTCACTTTTGGAAAAGTAATTTCCAATGACCCCGTTGTACCATAAAACGCTCTAAAAAAGTCCCACGTTGAGGATGAAGAGAACGACGTTTATGACAGGATGACTCTTTGTCGTGTGATTTCTTCAATTTGATGCTGGAGAAAATAGTACGAGATGCAGAGCTGAATAGAGGGTTCTGTTTTCTCCAGATAGGATAAAGAAGAGAAGCGAATGGGTCTGACTCTAACTCGGTACCCACGTCACTGTTCACAGTCATGACTTTGCAGACTTGAAATCCAACGCAGAATCACTCTTGCCAACAGTTGCTACTTTGGTCTGAGTAGGCAATTGAAAAGTAAAGTCCTCTACCGACGAACGAAAACCAAACTCTACATGTCCTTCATGATTCCCGTGCTGCTACATAGTGCGGAAGGAAATACGAAGACAACATCTGATGAGTCGGCGTTAGGAGTTTCGAGAGAAGGGTTTTGCGTAAGATCTATGATCCTTTGCGCGTTGGCAGCGGCAAATACCACAGTCGACGGAACGATGAGCTGTACGAGTTATAGGGCAGCATTGACGTAGCTCAGGGAATCAAGTAACAGTGGCTGCGCTGGCTAGATCATGTGGTCCGCATGGATTATAATACTTCGGTTTTAAAAGTTTTTGATGCAGTAGCCGCCGTTGGTAGCAGAGGAAGCGGAAAACCTGGCAGAGAAGGACCTGGTTGTACTTGGATTTTCCAATTGGCGCTAAACAGCGAAAAGAAGAAATGCATTGCTGAATGAATGAATATTGCTTAGTCTGTCACCTGTTTATTGGTTTTTGATGTAAGGTTTGCCAACTTTTCACTTCCTATATGGCGGTAATTTTAAATCTTACGTTAATTTTTTTGAGACACCCTGTAGGTAAGTTCATAAACGCATATTCATAGACTCTGACGCAGGTCGGACGCAGTAAAGTCAATAAACTTGCCTCCTCTCATTGCACGCGCCCACAACCAGGCGTTGCGTTGGTAGACTTTGTACTCGCTTTGTTGTTGTCTCGCAATTTATTACATCCATAAAAATGGATCAAATTGAAGAAACTACAAGGAATTGTAACGGCGGGCAACTAACACAACTTGTAAAGCTCTGAAGACGATTCAATTACTGGGCGGCATATACATGTAAGTATGTACGTATGTATGTATGTATGAGTAGGCAGTCCGTTGTTTTGATGAACTTATGCTTATTACACAATAGAATTGATATTTAATTAATCAGAAATTTATTGTCGGAATGTTGTCATAGCAGTGCTGTTATTCGCTTCCTCTTCTTTTTTCACACTGTAACATCGTGCAGGCACGTCGGTCGCTTCGGAGTTGATTGCAGTATGGTGAGGTGGAGACTGGCCCCTCCCTGTTTGATCCTGAGTTGAGTTGATGTTGCTGCTGATAGGAGTGAAAAACACACTTAGGGCTGTTTCTCAGATGTACGAACCATTTCGTGTGTCTTAAGATGATGCGGCACTACCTGTACCGCAGTATAGCCGTTGCTACGTCAGCCAGTCAATCAAAGAAGTGATATCTAAGGTACTCATATCGCAAAGTGCTTAGAGTCGGAAGTGACAGACGTAAATCTCAATACACTTGCTCTTTTTCGTCTCTATCACTTCGAGAAAAATTATAATTATTAAAAGTTTCTACTGCTTCGAAGTCCTATAATTAGTCTCCAGTTAGTATATCAGTTGTTATAGTCTTGGTGAACGGACTTATGAGTATCAAATTCCATGCCCTTTTGGCGTCCAATACCGACCAAAGCTGTCTAGTCAACTGATGTTGGCTATTTTTATGAATATCAGCTTCAGTATGAATTTTGAGTGGTACCTACTCTAGCTAGCTTATCCGCCACACAGTTGCCTGGGATGTCCCTATGTGAGGACACACAGACAACGGCTGTGTTGCATCTAGCCGGGAGCTTTTTTAAAGTGCCTCTTTTGAGGTGGTGAAGAGATCTGGCAACAGCAAATAAAAAAAAAATAAAAAATAAAATAAAATAAAATAAAATAAAATAAAATAAAATAAAGTAAATAAAGTATAATAAAATAAAATGAAATGAAAATATTTGAATTAAATAAAGCAAAAAAAATTAATAAAAATAATGAGCACATATTCATAATTATATAAAAACGCATTAGGCTCTTTAACCTTGAATTTCACAACCAGCTGTGAGTATAAGATATCATGTATGTATCCATATAATTCTCAGATATATGAAAATTGTTATTCAAATAAGCCAAAAATAATAATGATATTTTTATAATATTGTTTTGTTTTTTTTTTTACTACATTTGCCTATATTTATTGGATCTGCTTCGATATTAGAAACCTCACACTAAGCAAATTAAAATTAGCCAGGGATGTGCTCCTGGCTCAGTGTTGCTGTTATTTCTATAATTAGAGCAGTAGCATCTGCAACAGTTGAAGTAATTACTTCGTCACTCGTAGAAATGTCAGCGGTGAAATAATAATGACTCAAGAACACTACCTTTGCAGAAGACCTGCCGCGATACTCTTATGTTCTCTGAACATACACTTTAACACTAAATTGCCCTATAGATAAGAAGCATTCAAGGATATTATGGAATGGGTTGGGTAATGATTTTAATTTTTATGATTTGAAGATCATCACACCCACACCTCAAGAAATACCACCGAGCAGGAATCTCTCTTTTTCTTATTTTTGCTGCTGCTACCAAATTTTTTCACGAGTGGCAGGCAATTGTGATAAACAAATGAAAGGATGTATAAATTATAAAATAAATAGCGGCAAAATATGCTTTCGAACAGGAAATAAATTCAAACATGTGCGCAAAGTATATTCCTTTATTTAGAAAATCTCCAGATTCGTTGAAAAGTAAACAAATTGAAATAAATTTGATTTTGTGTTATAAAATTTATTTGTTTATAAATTCATTTGCAATTACAAACTTATTCACTATTTGATATATTACATACTATATATTTATACATACATAAAATATTATTAAATAAGTATTTAAGACAAAATAACTTTTACAGTCTTGTCATACATATATATATATATATATATATATATATATGTATCCATATTTCGATAGATGTTGTTTTTAGAATATTTACTTTAAATTAAAGATTGTATATGTATATATGTAGGTAAATGCTATTAGTCTGTTATGAGTGAGTACCTACATATTTACGCTCTTAAAATAGCTACAAATATTTCCATATATAAATGTGATAATGTCAATATGACGCTTTTTATATGTATCTATGCATGTATGTATGTATATATATTTATAGTGTTTGTTTGTATCGACTAAATATGTATATAAGTACATTTTCTCATACAACAATGGCAATAATGCGTATTAATATCATTTTCTGTTTCTGAACGAAAACTGGTTTCAAAGCACTTTTGGGTGTTGGCGTCTTCGCTGCTTTTGCGTTTTCTGTTCGAAGTGTTAATGCTCCAGTTAACCATTTAAAACACATTGCGGTTGTTTTTTTTATAAATTTAACTTCGATTCAGAGTTAGTCTTGGCGACGGCAGAGTTTGTTTGTTTTTTTAACCTTTGAGGCTCGATTTTTCTTTCATTTCAAACTCAGACCCATTGCGTTCTCCACTTCCTGCCTTTTTCCGCTACTGATGTGCCCAGCTTTATTTTCGGACCGTTCCAGGAGCTGGGGCTGCTCCGGCGCCAAGAACTAACCACACGCATTTGCTTACGCTTGCAACATAACTACGTACTATTGGTATTGCCATTGCGATTGTTGTTGCTGCTGTTGCTGCAACTATGCACCGAGGCTGTGATCAATTCTCATGCCGTTCGCTTTTTCATAGCATTACAGGCACTGCAGTATGAGTAGGAGCTCGGTGATGGTGGCGGCGATGAAGACAAGCTGCTATTACCGTTGCAACTGCTGCCGAAGGTGACTTGAACCTGAGGATGTATGGGGAAGTGATTCCAATGTGGGCACGGCATTTGTGCTGGTGGCTTGATTGGAAATGTGTTTGGCATCTTGTGGCTGTTTGCTTGCCTTTTTGTTTTTGTTTTTTTTTAGCAAATTCACTGCTTTTACGCGTTCAAAAATGTATTTCTTTACTTTTCACTTGTGGTTTTACTTTTATTACTTTGAGTTCTTAACTAGAACTTTTTCAAGAATTTCACTTTCTTTTAGCTTTTTTTTTACTTTTTCTCTTTTCCAAGTAGTATTCTGCTCAATGGCACAATCTTTACTGAGCTCCATCCCAGCTCGTTTGCTGTTTATATAGCCGCGTCACTCGCGTCAATGCACGCACAGTAATCGTAATGGCTGGCCTGACTGCTGACTGGCGAGCGACGCGAGAAATCAACAACAAGTCGCACACATGGACACACACTTCAGTCAGCCGACAAGGAGTTCGTCAACACACACATGGTTTGCATGGTTTACACGCGAAATCATTTGAAGCGAAATGCAAGCTTCTGGGGCGCTCTCTTTTTAGCTTATCACTCTTATAGTGAATGTTTCCACTTACTTTCGTTAGTTTTGAGTTTCGGCATTTCGATTTTAGCGTACACGCTACAAACAGATTTGTCTGTAAATAATATATGAAAATATATGGATTATATTATATATAGGTCACCCTTGTTCGAGAAGTGGCAGAGTTTTTTGGGTTTTTATGGTGACGTTTTTTGTATTCTTCTGTTATGTATAGAACTTTGACATTTTCTTTGGATTGCCAATAGCTAATGCTGCTAAAATAATTAGATCCTTGAAGGATCTCTAAATGTTTGAATAACTTCGGCTTTGCTGAGCATAGGAGACTAACAGGCCTATTCTGTCGAGGTAACAAAATTTACCTAGGAATTAAAATTCAGTAAATTCATACATAGCAATTAAAATTCAGTAAATTTTGTTACCATTTCGTATTCTGAGCTCACTTTTACCCTGTAAATTTTGTTACCAGCGAAATAAGAGGTAACAAAAATATCTGCTGTTTGATTTTGGGTTGTAAGTTTGAGAAAAAATAAAAAACCAAAATGGGTAGGCATATATTAGGCCTGGAATTCATTGAAGATGAATAAAAAAGTGCAAGAAGTGGTATTTTAAGAAGTTTTCGAGACTCAAAAATAGCCCTTTAATTTGTAAGATAACTTTTTCATTCAGCTTTTTTTTGTTGTCCAAGCATGTTTTCCATAATTAGGCTCAAATATTTATGATTTAATAAACAAATTACTAAAACTTTTTAATTTTTTTGTGCTCCGTCTTTCATTTCGATGTGAAAATTTTTCTTTTTACTATATCAGCTGGCAAATAAAATTTGACATGGACGAAAAAGCAGTGCTGCCAAATTTGTTTCAAACATTGTCACCAGTTCGCCAGAATACCAAATTCAATTTCGGGTGTTAAAGAAAAGTAACAAAATTTACTTTACCGGCGAGAATAGGCCTATAATTGTAATAAGTATTTGAATTTCAAACAAATTAAAAAATAAATATTAATGCCTGAGGAGTTCGATAAGTTGACCAGAAAAAAAAAATGAAATAATTTATTTATTCTCTTTGTATTTTTATCTTCTTTACATAATCGCCATTGATTTCAATGCATTTCTTAAGCTTTAGATCCACTACTGAAAACAGTCTTCAAAATTTTGCTTTTTCGGCTTAGCAAAGTTCAGCATTAACCGCATTAATTATCTCCTCGTTGCAATTAAAGACCTTTTCTTTTAAATTTTTTTTTAATTTTTGGAAAAAAAACCGTTATTTGAAATGTCCAATATCCGGGAAATATGGCGCTGGACGTATATCTTCGATTCCAGAGATCGCAATAAAATTATTCGTTATATCAGCCGTGTGGGATGGTGCGTTGTCATGATGCGCTGCAAATCCTCTTTCTTCCTGCTTCCCTTGGTAAGCACTCTTCGGTGTATCATTTCGCAGTTACCGTCTGAGCCTTTGGAATAACATCCAGTTATCACTTTTCTACCAGTAAATTTTGTTTCTTTTGTAGCTCGTTTGAAGAGCGCATATGACCCAGCTAATTACTTTTGCCTTTTACTAACGATTCAACCACCTTTTTCGCTACTTTTATCGCACTTCTCGTAGGGAGCGAGCAACGAAATGTTCACATGGCCATACATAACATACATAACTGATGGAATGGTCTTATTTCTTCTTTTCAATTTTGTTTTCATTTTCTGTTTCTCAACATAATAATAAGGATTGCAACAAAAACTTCGTACTCGTAGAGCAATTCGGTGGTGTGGTTTTTGAAGCGAGACTGGAGTTTTGAGCTCTGCGTCTACCGTATCTACCACTCACTGTGTCTGTGCATGTGTGTGAGTGTGCGTGTGCGAGTACAGTTTCTAATGGCCACATGCTGCTAGCAATTTCTATGAACAACGCGTTGATAGTGACGAAAAAGGCGCGGCAAAAGCGGAAAGTAGAAAAAAAACAAAAAAACAGTCAAAATTATGTGTCTGAAATACTTATCCGAAGTAGATTTGTTCCTTATGTATGCAAGTATATAAAATATATAGTAGTATATATATTTATGTAAAAATATGTATATATGTACATATGTATGTATATGTAAACTAGCCATTTTTGTAAGTATGAACTTGAAGTTTGTTTTGATGGTTTGACATTGTTTGCCTTTTGAATGAATTTCGTATGATTTTGCTCGTCTTAGATTGTTTATTTTGGTTAAACGTTGATTTTTGTTGTTGTCTGTTTTCGCCGGTAAGTTGTTATTCTTTTTTTTATCAAACGTGTTTTGCATGAGCTCATTTCTGTTCATTCACCATTGCAGGGCAATGTGGGCAATGTGTACGCAATTGAAGGGGGTCAGTCAACATATTTCTCTCTATTTTACATATATACAGTGCCTCAAAAATGAACTCGGACACACAAGTTATATGACTCCAAACCAAAAAAATATATAATAAAATGTAAATCGAGGGCTTTTTGTTTAACATACATATATTTCTATTCTTCAAGTGTATTTTTGAAAACAACCAAAACCACAAACTAAATTCAATTCGGTCGTATAAAAATAATATGAACATAACCACTTAACAAAACTGATGACACAAAAGAAATCGGACATATGTATGTATATCAAGTGTACAACTTTGCTTCCGCCGTTTTCCGATAGGTGGCTGTACCGGCTGAGGCTGGTTGAAATACATAGATGATAATGCCTTTAAAGTGAGTGTGGACAGTGCCTAACGAATTGTCATCGCCGTTTCAGTGACAGTTGTTCTTGTTTTCGTATTATTCACGCTCGAAAATGTCCGTTTATGTGCCTAATTCTCGCCATTTGCGGGAAGTTTTACTTTTCTGTTACAATTCGAAAAAAAAATGCAGCTGAAGCGCATCGAATGCTCTCAGAAACTTACGGTGATGCTGCTCTGAGTGAAAGAACGTGTCGGGAGTGGTTTCAACGAATATTCACGGCGCCAAGGTTATGATTTGTATTTGGTGGGATCAGCTCGGTGTGATTTACTACGAGCTCTTAAAACCGGGTGAAACCATCACAGGAGATCGCTACCGAACGCAACTGATGCGCCTTAGTCGCGCGCTAAAAGAAAAGCGGCCACAATATCAAGAGCGACATGACAAAGTCATCCTCCAACACGACAATGCTCGGCCTCACGTCGCAAAAGTGGTCAAAAAGTACCTGGAAACGCTGAAATGGGAAGTCTTGCCCCACCCGCCGTATTCCCCAGATGTCGCCCCTTCTGACTTCCACCTATTCCGTTCGATGGCACACGGCCTGGCAGATCAACATTTTCAATCCTTCGAAGAATTGGAAAAATGGATTGCTTCATGGATAGCGTCAAAAGAGGACTCCTTTTTTCGAGCCGGGATCCGAAAATTGTCGGAAAGATGGGAGAAAATTGTCGCTAGCGAAGGACAATACTGTGAATTATATATCTGTAAGCAGTCTTTCGCAATAAAGCTTTTAATTTTGGAAAAGAACGGCGGAAGCCTTTACTTTTTCTGATGGCATTCAGTCTTCCTGGCAGAGATTCAACTAGCTTCTTGCATGTTAAAGAATTTATTATCCTCCATTCTTCCAAAATAGCGGCTTCTAGGTCTTTCTTATTTCTAATAACATGCATTTTCAGTTTGTTTTCCAAATGAGCCCACAGAAGTTCAATTACGTTAATGTCGGCAGATTGAGGAGGTGTTTCAAACACTTCAGGATAGTTATACATCAACCATAGATGGACATCAAGTGCTTTATGCTTGGGATCGTTGCCTTGGTAGTACTGGAAATTGTCTTTAATTTCCAACTTTTCCGCACTTTGTACTAAATTTCTTTTAAATGGTCAGATATTGCTTGTGGTCCATATTACGATTTATGAAGCATAAATTTCCAGCATCAGCTGCGGACATACAACCCCATACCATTACTGAGCCGCCCCCTTGTTTAACAGTCGGACGTAAATTCTTTTCTAGCAACTCTTCATTCGGTTTTCTCCAAACATACGACTGGCCAGCTGACCTAAATATATTTAATTTGCTTTCATCTGCAAACAAAATTTGTTTCCAGAATTGAAAATCCTTATCCCCATGACATTTTGCAAATTTTATCTTTTTGTTTCGGTTAACCTCGTTTATAAATGGTTTCTTCCATGCTACTCTTCCATTATAATTATTTTTTCGTAAGTCTATTCGGATACTTTCCGAATTACAATTTATATTGAGATGTTGCAAAACTTCTGTTGAGAGCTTGGAAATGCTCATGTTTGGATTGTTTTGATTTGCTGCTCTATCCGCCGCTCATCTGCAGCCGAAAACTACTTCGGTCGTCCAGACTTTTTTTTTGTTTTCTATGGATTTTGTTACTTTGAATCGTGTAATCACGTCATGCACAGTCGAGGGGGTTTGCTCACAATTTCAGCTATTTCCCGAATGGTCTTTCCCATTTCAAAATGACTAATAATTAACTTCCTTACTTCAATTGAGCCATGCCATGTTTGAAATTTTCACCTTGTTTTCCAAAAAAAAAAATTACTGAAATTTTATTCTAAACTATTGCTTTTGATTATATACATATATATTTTTAAACGAAAACAAACTAATTTTGGCATTACCCTTTTTAAAATGCCATGGACCTGTAATATTACCAGATGACGGACATCTTTTTCGACGAAATTTCTAGCATGTCACATGTTATTTTTTTAATTAAGGGTATAAGAGACCTTTAAACTATTCAATTTATTTGTTAGTGGTGGTTTTTAAATCCTAATTGGATA